TTTGATGAAAGCAAGCTATTTATCACACACATTCCAAAGTACTAAGGCACGCGTTTTTCAGCAAGGCATATTTCCTGAAGGCAGCATTGCTAAATGACCATCTTTTCAACTTATCCTCCTTAAGGGAGAATCTTTTTAGAATCTTCAGAAGTAGGCCTGCCAATCTGATTCATTTTCAGAGTTTTCAAACTCAGAGTTGATGAAAGACATGAAAGGGCTCTCCAAGTAATAAGCTGTGTGATTTATGCACCTGAAAGACAAAAATAAAACCCAGTCCAACAGCAGTGTGATGACTAATTTGCCAGGAAATATTAAGCATGGTTAATCTTTCAAACATAAGGAGAAAAATTATTAAATCAAACTTTTGAGGATGATAGAGGAGCTAATTCAAATGTGACTTGAGACATACTTTTACCTAGTTAATTAATTCAGACCTCTATCTTCAAAGACATTTTAAGAGGAACACAAGTCAAAGTTTTATGATTGTTACATAAATTACAATCCTCAAAGTTTTCAAATGCTTGTTTCTAAAAGATGGTGTGTTGAGATGAAGTGAGTTTATCTCTAATTCAAATTTATTCCTTCTTAAGAAATTATGACCCCCTGCTTATTAAATCTCCTGAATTGAGTTAGTTTTAATCCTCTAAATTCTAATAAACAGAGATATCACATTTAAACCACTCATTCTTCAGATTAGTAAAAGACCATAAGGAGCAAACAGATTATGTGTTGCCAAAAATGTCATATTTTCTCAGAAAAAGAAATATGAGTAATGCACATGTGGTCTGATTATCTGATTTGATTGACTTCCCAGCTCTATGTCACCATCTAGCCATGCAGCCCTGCTTTATTTGTATTACAGATGTGCCTGTAGATTTTAACTTCCTAGGGAGTAAGACGATTTTAGGACTTATTATTTTGTGTGTGCTTATGTTTTAAACTAATTAAAGCTATAATTATTTTCTTCATCAGTAATAATTTATTTTATCGGAAATATGAATGTAAATATCTTTCTGAATTCACTTGCCTATTAAAACTTGGCGTCAGTAGTATATTAAATAATATCTCAGCCCAATATCAAATACTCAAGATGGATAATGGTCAGTTCTGCTCTCCACATAATTAACTGTTTTTGAAAGTTCTTTTATATAGATTCATTTGAATATATTCACAAGCTAAAGAGTGCATACACTCAGTTGATTACATGATATCATGAGTCCATCTCCTACTCTCCAGAATTTCTTCTATTTTTCTTTATTTTATAAGAATCCAATGCGTTAAGACACCTTATCAGTGATGATAATCAGGGGATGCACTTATAAGTGTAGATATTGACAAGAGTTTGATAAGATGCTGTGTGATGTTAAGATTTTAAATGAGAAAGTGTTTGTTCTAATAAAGGTCTTTGTTTTAACAATACCTTTTAAAGGTCTTTATATCACAAAATAACTATGAAATAGATCATTGAAGTTATTGAATATTACACATTTCCTTTTCACTTACTTGTATATGCTTTGAATTTCTTCTTCCAATTAGTCAAATACATACTTTAATTGCCCACTTAGAAAATTCCCAACTGTTAAAAAAAAGTGACTTTTTCATCAAAGTAATTTTTGCCTACTTTTTTGTTGCTTAAAAATATTCCAATTATAAAACTCATTTTTAATAATTTTGTTATAATTTGAATGTAACTTTATGTCAAGCAATTTCTTATTTTTCCAAAAATAATTGAGCATTCCAATAATAAAAATTATTTTACAGACAATTGCAAAAATCTAATAGTTATTTATTACAGTAATTGCAAGGTGCCAAACTGTTTTCAGAATTGCTAAAATTTCATTGGACCACATTTAATGTTAATTGTATTTCTGCTGAAATATCCCCTTTAGACTGTCTTTCTGAATCTTTATACTTTCCCATCCTCCTCTCAGAGGCAAGTGCCCTCTCTACCTATTCTCACTGCAGACCATTAATCCTCTGCCTAATGTCTGTATGTTGTTGGTTTAATTCTCTGTTTTTCCCCATGAAACCAGGTTGCCTTGAAATTAAGGGTCTTGTTTTTTTCCTTCTTATTCACAGCCCATAGGGCTATGTGTGTTGCATAAAAATAATGGCAAATATTTGTCGTATGAATGAATTACTTGAAAATATATGCACAATGATAGTATCTGATCTTACGTCTAGCATATCATTATTAAACTGAAATATAAACCAGTGTATCTTTATATGGAAAACACTAGATAAAAGTTTATGTAACAAACCACAGACTCGGATAATGATTAATGTACATGATAGTATTAGTATGAAAAAGTAAAAATTCCACTACTAAATGGCAAATAAATAAGTAAGCAAGTCATAGAAAAAGAGAAGTCAATACAGAAATAAGATGCTCAAAGATCAATAATGATCATGAAACTAGAAATTGAAATAGAATTTAGAAATGATATTCTTCCTGTGAAATTAACAAAAATAACAATGTTGATAATCTTCAGTCAGTCTAGGGCGGGTAGAAGGTGAATGGAAAGTCTATTCTTACTCTTTTAGTGGCTAAGATTTAACATAATTATCGTAGGGGCCCATTTGTTGTTACTTATCAAATTTTAAAATACATATATGTTTTGATTACTAATTAGAATTCTGAGCATCTTCCTGCCCAAATGTAAGTATCTATAAACATAGGTCTTCGTCTAGGGATATACAGTAAATTAAATTGGCATGAACATCATGTCCATTTATAGAGAATAACTTACAGAAATCATAATATACTCATATATGTGGAAATCACATTTGTGTAAAGCATTGGTAATAAAATGGAAAGATCTCCATGATGCTTTTTTTTTTTTTTTTAAGGATTGGCACCTGGGCTAGCAACTGATGCCAATCTTTTACTTTTTCTTTTTTCTGCTTTATCTCCCTAACCCCCCCCCCGCCCCCGTACACAGTTGTATATCTTAGTTGCAGGTCCTTCTAGTTGTAGGATGTGGGACGCCACCTCAACGTGGCCTGACAAGCAGTGCCATGTCCGCGCCCAGGATCTGAATCCTGGGCCGCCACAGCAGAGGGCGGGAACTAAACCACTCGGCCATGGAGCCGGCCACGCCATGATACATTTTTAATTAAAGATTTCAAATCATAGAAAGCTACATACGCTGTGACTCAATTTAGGTAAAAAAATCTACACTCTCAAAATACTTTTGTGTGTGTATATGTGCATTTGTCTGAGAAGATGTACAGAAAATGCTGGGAGAGTACATCATAAAATGTTAAGAGTATTTATTTCTACCAGTGAGATTGAATTGAGGGGGATATGAAATATCATTCTAATTGTTTTAAATGAGAGTACACTAAAATTAGAAAAGTAAATGAAAAGTAATAAAAATTTCCACATCACTACTGAGAAAGAAATCATGACTTTTAACCTCCAACAAAGAACATTAAAAATTTTGAACCTGTAAGTAGTCTGAATATTTCAGTATTTTAAAAAGCCGCTGTGGCTTCACAATTCCACACATGAGAGCACTGAAACGAGATAAGAAAGTACAAGCAAAGCAGCCATAAATATCTCTGCTGTATTTCAACCCTAGTACAGACTTTGCATCTTGACACATGGAGAGGCATGCATCAGTGGTCACGGTCATTTCTAAACAGAATGTTTATTGCTGACACACAGTCTGAATCAGTATGCCTTATACCCCCAAGACAATATGCTCTGGCATTATGAAGTCAAATGAATTTTATTACATTTTAACGTGAGAAGTATCTCATATAACTTTTACATGTGTAAATTTTATTTCGTATAATTTCCTCAGTGATATATTGTTTTCCTCTATTATGTAATTCAATGATACAACAGTTTGGCAGTTTCTTGCAAAACAAAATTAAACAAAACTCCTAGCTGTGATCCAGAAATTGCGCTCTTTGGTATTTAATCAAATGTTTAAAAACTTTTGTATATGAAAGCCTGTACATGGATGTGTATAGCAGCTTGATTCATAAGTGCTGAAACTGGGAAGAAATCAAGATGTGCTTCAATAGGTGAACCTATAAACTTGATCCATCCAGACAGTGGAATATTATTCAGTGTTGAAAACAAATAAGCTATCAAGTCATGAAAAGACATGGAGGAAACTTAGATGCATATCACTAAGTGAAAGAAGCCAACTGAAAAGGCTACTTACTGTATGAATCCAACCAAGTGACATTCTGGAAAAGGTAAAACTATGGAGACAGTAAAAAGATCAGGGATTTCCAGGGATTTGGTGGGAGAGAGGGATGAATAAGAGGAGTACAGGGGATTTTTAGGGCAGTGAAACTGCTCAGTATGATGTTCTGATGGTGGATACATGTCACTATTCATCTGTGAAAATTCTTAGATATGCAACACCAGGAGTGGACCCTGATGTAAATTATAGCCTTTGGTTAATAACAACGTGTCAATGTTGTTCTATCAGTTGTAAGAAATGTACCACTCTGTGCAGCATGTAGCGTGTGGTGGTGGGAGAGGGGCTGCATGTGAAGAGGAAGGGTGGAGGTATGGGAACTCTACTTTCTGCTCAATTTTGTTTTAAACCTAAAACTGTTCTAAAAAAACAAAGTCTATAAAAATATGACACACTTCTAAGTTGATGCTTTAGTTAATTCTAATGAGCTTTAGGATCCTCTGACTTTTGTATATTGGTGCTAATCCATTTGACTATAAATTTAATTTCAAAGGAAAAGGACAAAATTAAAGTTTGTGACCTATAGTAAAATATCCCTATACAAGATTTATTCACCTTTTCTTCCTTTACTAACAAAATTTTAATTTGTTCAGTGTAGCAATTTATCCATTGAAAAATGACATTCCTCAGTGTTCTTTGCAGTTTGAGGTGTTCATACTTGTAATTATAATCATGAGAAATAAGGAAGTTAGCTGTGAATTTCTGGAATTTCTTTTTTCTTTTGTGAGGTGTCATCTATTTTTCTGGTTTTTCTTCACTTTTCTTGCACTTTTCTTACAGACGTGGTGGCTGTAGCAGGCACATTGCAACCTTGAAGAAAAGGCCAGGAATGCCTCAGTGTCCTCAGCCTTGTCCACCTCCAGACTTCTGACTTCATGAAGGAAAACAAATAAACAAGGACTTCTAATCATTTGGTGGAATTGACAGGATTTCTGTTACCCACAGCCAAATGCAATCCTAACTATTCAGAGAACCAGTACAAAATGCTAATAATGATCAATAAGTGGTTCTAACTGATAAGAAATGCTTGGGAGGTTGAAATATGGTAAATTTTTAGCATTCTTGGGAATATCTTCTTTCTCTTTTAACATGGAATTCCATTGTTCAACTTCAGTGTTGAAGGAATAATACAAATAGTTAGTGGATGGCCTATAAAAATCTTTTGACCCCCATTAAAGTGGATAATGCTTTCTTCCTTTCTAGAGACTATTTTGTTTATACAAATGTCACAACCCCAAATCAATTGCCTAGAATGAGGGTGAAAAACCTCCTGGGAGATTAAAAAAAATGAAGAGGACCTGATATCTGCCCAAATGTCTGCAATCTAGATAGAAGGGGAAAACTTATACAAGAAAATAAATACAACGTAAATGTGGAGATGAAGCAAGAAGGTTGTTCAATTTAGAAAGAATAACAAAGCAACATTGCAGAACTGGGAAAGGTCAAGAAAACAGAATAGTACAGTCTGAACAAGAAATACCTTTAGACCAGAAATACAGGTTGATGCAAATTCAAAGAGATGTTTGAATACAGGCTCAAGGCATTTAGACTTTATGTGAAAGGCAATAAGATATTAGTGTGTTTGGATTAAGGAAATTTTATGTTAGAGCGCAGCAATGAAATGCAGAGAGACAAACAAAAGGTGTGTTTTGGAACGAGAATTGGCAGGAATTGGGAACCATACTCACATTCACCGAATCATCTCAGTATAGTCTGTTTGCTCTTTATTGTGAGAAGTTCAACTCTGAGGAAAAATGGGGGGGAAATGAAGTGAGAAAACAGGAAACAATGTACGAGCAAAGCTAGTTTCTTGAGATTTATTTTTTGTAACAGTTTTTGGTTCTTTCCCAATTATGAGGTTCTCAAATAATCTATCAAAACAAAGATTTTCTTCTCTCACCATGCCATTCAGATAAAGAATTTTCACATAGAATGTGAAATAGAACACTTGGTTATTTTTACTTTGATTCAAGTTACAAAAGAACTGATAAATAAGTAGCAAAAATCTATGGAAATGAGAGGCAGATTTGTTTTGGAAGAAATAATAGAAAGGTTATTTCTAGCTGGTGCGGCAGCTGCTTGGTGTCATTTCTGAACAGATGAAGGGAATTTGTGAGAGAGATGCTATGGAAAGATTGTTTGATTGCTTTATTTAAAAATTTGCAAAGAATTATGGGTGTTTGTAAAAATGTTGTGAGGTACACCTGACAAATTTGAAATATTTTATTCTGATTGACAATGATTTACTGTGAACAGATCCAGTGTAGGGGAAAAAAAGATGGAAGAGTAAAACTGGTAGATTCATCTTCAAGAAGAATATAGTGGTTTAATATCTTCATCTTTTTATTATTTCCATTTTGATTAAATTGATGATAATACTTCTTATCCAACAGCACAGTGCAAATGAGCCTATATTTGTATGTATCTGGAGAGGAATATATATATATATACAGCCTTGTGTTGCTTAATGATGGGTTTATACTCTGAAGAAAGCATTGTTAGGCAATTTCATGGTTGTGCAAACATCACAGAGTGCACTTACACAAACCTAGATAATATAGCCTACCACACACCTAGGCTATATTGTGCTAATCTTATGGGACCACCGTCGTCATATATGCAGTCCGTCATTGACTGAAATGTCGTTATGCAGCATATGACTCTATATATTGAGAGAGAGAGGGAAAGAGAGAGATTCATTAAAAGAAGTTGGGTCACCTCATTATAAAGGCAGAGAAGTCCAAGATCTGCCAACTGCAAGCTGGAGAACCAGGAAAACCAGTGGTATAATTCAGTCTGAGTCCAGAGGCCTCAGAACCAGGGTGTAAGTCTCAGTCTGAGTCTGAAAGCCCAAGAACCAGGAGTGCCAATGCCTGAAGGCAGAAGATGGATGTCTCAGCTCAGCACAGAGCTCTTCTCCTGCCTTTGGATTCTATTCAAGCTCCCAAAGTATTGGATGATGCCCACCTATATTGGTAAGGGTGATCTTTACTCAGTATACCAATTCAAATGCTGATCTCTTCTGCAAATACCCTCACAGACACACTCAGAAATGTTTCCCCAGCTATCTGGGCATCCCTTACCCATTCAAGCTGACACATGAAACCAACCATCATGCTCATGTTGCCCAAGTCCTGGACACATATAAATGCTTTGGCTCTCTATCACTAGGGTCACATGTTTTATTTCTGCCTTTTTGGAATCAGAGCTTTATGAAGAGCAATATTCATATAGCCAACATGGTTTCTATCTTTATGTAATGGAAATGTGCTTTAGCAAAACATAGAAAACTGTCATCTACTGAACAGCTAGCTAAGTACTAAAAGAAAGTGGAGTAGAAAGATGTGTTAAAACAAAATGCGTAACCCGAGTCTTAAAACCACCCAATAAATATCATCTATGTTAGAAGGTTTGACATATTGTTGTTATTCTTATCATAAGTTTTGTTAAAATTAGTAAGCTACTTAAGATCTATGCAACCTCAAGTTTCTCATGAAGTAAATGAGAATTACAGTACCAACAGCACAGATTGAAGGAGGATAAAATAAGGCACTGAATGCATATGGCATACATTCATCCATTTCTTCTAGGTGAACTTACTATTGCTACTATTTTTTTAATTAATATAATATTTGGCCAACGTTTACTTTGCCCCTAATGAGTCTACTATAGAATCTATTGATGTGGATTTTTCTTTTAAATCCTTGCGTTCAGTCAAATGTTTGTATATTTTGTTTGCTGTTTGTGTATTTGTTTTCACTCATTTCTGTATCTCAAATATCTATTAGGGCAGGCATTCAGAACACAACTAAAGAAGAGAAGGAGATTTGGTGAAGAAGAAACCAACTCATACATATAAATTAGCACAACTATAAGGAAGTAAAAATGGTAAAAGACTAGAACAGCCTACAAGAAAAACAATCTTGAAAATGGAGTTGCACTGTGTAGTGAAACAAAACAAACAGAATCCCCACTAGTTAGAAGGCAAATCAGAGGACCTGGGTATTTTGCCAGTCAGTCTTACAAACTCTTTTAGACTCAGTTTCTTCATCTGTGAAATGTGGATAGTATCAGCTGCCTCAAAGAGCTGGTATTTGTTGATATAATGAAATGAACTGATCAACAGAGCCACAGAAATATGTGGGTTATCACTGCCCTGTACCCTCCACGACAGCAGAAGACACCATTCTCTTGTTAATAGGCTAGCTGTTTCCCAGATGTCTCACAAAACAGCTAGCCTATCATAGGAATTCCATAAGCATTTGTTACACTAATCAAGGAGTAAAGTAGGGTGATTGACAATCCGTTCTCCCTAGGAAGACATAAAAATACCCAAGCAGAGTGGAGGAGATTTAAAGAAAAATAAAAATTACCATATATTTCAGTGGTTATCTCTTGAATCCACAATCTCAGGAGATAGACAAAGATGACCACCACTTTTGCCACTTATTGCCAGGTTTTCCAACTCAGTTATCATGGTGAGGAGAGAAGCAAAGACGCATTCTGGTTATTAATATAGACTGTACTTCTCCCAGTTGTAGACAAAGACATGACAGATGGGATGCACAGTGAGAACTTAAATATTTAGACTCTTGCTAGAAATTTAAATTAATCATTCATTCAAGAAACACTTAACACCAAATTTACATAGGCAATGTGCCAGCGTTTGGGATAAAGATAGAAAGAAAAAAAGAGAGAGAAAGAAAGAAATCAATCCCACAGTCTCATGTCTTCAAGAAATTCATTGTCCATCAGGGAGAAAAAAAGCATAAATAGGCAAACAGAATCAAATACGATTAAGAGCAGAGTGTGCACAAGGCCCGAGGAAAGGGGAAATTAACACTGCCTTGGGCATTTCATTTATTAACCTACTTCTAAAGTTTATTTCCTGGTGAGTGATATTAAAAACAACATGCTTCCTGGGTACAATTAAATTCAATTTAAAATGTATTAAGTGACACTCTGTGAAAAGCACTTTACAAATAGCTCAGCTTTAGGGGACACATTGATCTTTAAGACATGGCTCTTACTCCAGAGGTCTTGGGATATCATTAGCACAGACATCCTACACACCTGTAAGTATATCACTAGGTATAAAATGAATGTCACCAGCCATAATCACTGCAGGAATTTAGAACAGAGAGAGTAATGTGATCTTGAGGAATTTCAAGGGTTTAGGGTTGATTTGGGATGTGAAATGTGGGACAAAGATAGTGCTTGTGTGACTAACATATTAATGAACCTGAAATGATTAAACAGATAGTCTGACTCCCCTCACCAGGCACAGGGAGAAATCTAATACTGTTACACAGAGGGTATCATTGAGACGTGGCTTCTGTGTAATGGTGAATGTTTTTCAAGCTACTCTCTAGCTGAAAACTGCTTCCTGGCCAAAAGGGAGAGTGGGATGTAATTACTTCCAACATCACTTAGCAGTGATCAGAGGGAAAGAACAATAGAGCAAAGAGCTGAGCACGGCACAAATAGAAACCAGCCTTTTGTTTTTCCTGAAAATTAAAAAGAAAAATGAGAAAGGGCATACTGAAGGGCTATAAAGTTAATTTACATTTGCACGGATCTGCATAGTAGCTGCTAGACACATGGGAAGCTAGTATTTTTTAATTACTTGGCATAAATATTTTGAACATTGAGAAAGAAGACAGAACAAGGAACTGAAAATTCTCTGAAATTAATCATCACAGCCCTGAACCACGGCCAGGATACTACGAGTAAAGCAATGCTAGCCTTGTGCTACAGAACTCCCTTTACTCTTCCAAAAGTCACGAAAACTAGACTTGGAATGGAGTTCAAAAGAGTGAAAAATTTGAGTATCACTGGGCTGAAATGAGATAGTAATTACACGATGTCATCACATTCAGTATTTCAAGAACACTTGAAATAAGCCCAGGAACCAGTCAGACATTCTATCTGAATAAGATGGACAGGGGTTGAAAACGACCCGGCAGAACACAGGTGCCATTTGCTGCCATGTTTTGTGGACACCACTGGTGGACTCCAAGATTATAAATCTGGAAGATGCCATTGTAAAACTCTCATCGCATCTTCTCTTAACTCATCAGCCTTTAGCAGCAGGGTTTTTTTTTTCTTTTTCAGTCTTTAAGTTGAAC